CCGTTGACTTCAACCAGTGATGTCGTCGGGAGGTGGAAGGAATACTTCTCGGACCTTCTCAATCCCACCAGCATGTCTTCCATGGAGTAAGCTGAGTCGGGGGACTTTGGGGTTGATCCGTCTATAACCGTGGCTGAGGTCGCTGAGGTAGTTAAAAAGCTCAGAGGCAGCAGGGCTCTGGGAGTGGATGAGATTCACTCTGATTTCCTTAAAGCTCTGGATGTTGTAGGGCTGTCTTGACTGACACACCTTTGCAACGTCACATGAACATCGGGGGAAGTGCAGACTGGCAGACTAGGGTAGCAGCCTTGCTGGACGCCAGGAGAAGGCCTCTCTGAAACCCCACCAAGGTAAAGAGTCGACGCTCGGGTACCATCTAGCTGAAATCACCGGGAAACGTGCTATCTGGTTTCAAACAAGATAACTCCCCATCTTTTCTTTATTATCTTAGTTAACCCTAAGTATCCACTTTTCCTTCAGAAACTTTACTCCATCTCTATATTTCTCTGCCAGTAAAGATAAGCTCAAAAGCCTTCAGACATTAATTTAAGATCTAAGGATATGTCTGTTGTTTTTATTAAGTAAAACGTGCCAAGTTTTATTAATCAGAGCCGATCAGAATAATCAAGTGTACAATGTTTTGATGTTAAATTTTGATTCTGTTAATAAATGACCACATTCATTTTGATGGGTCAAAGAAAATTAACGTCTCATGTCACTGATTAGACCATCTCCAACACAGTACCTCTGTCACATATCTGTCAAGTAGCTCGAAAAAGAGAGAACCCGTTATTAAATATTGATTGTAGTGGAGCTCTTGAGCTAACTGAAGCTAATCTAGCCCTATCTCACTACATTTCTGGGGTAGTAGTTCCCCTTTTCAAAAAGGGGGACCGGAGGGTGTGCTCCAATTATAGGGGCATCACTCTTCTTAGCCTCCCAGGTAAGGTCTATCCAGGAGTACTGGAGAAGAGAGTCTGTTCGTTGGTCGAACCTCAGATCCAGGAGGAACAATGTGGGTTCCGTCCTGGTTGTGGAAAGTCCCCCGACTCAGCTCTTTACCCTCACTAGGGTCCTTGAGGGGTCATGGGAATTTGCCCATCCAGTCTACATGTGTTTTGTGGACTTGGAGAAGGCATTCGACCGTGTTCCTCGGGGTACACTGTGAGGGGTGCTCCGTAAGTATGGGATTGGAGGCCCGTTGTTACCGGCTGTTCAGTCCCTATACAAGCGTTGCAAGAGTTTGGTTCGCATTGCCGGCAGCAAGTCGGACCCCTTCAGGGTGGGAGTTGGACTCCACCAGGGCTGCCTGTTGTCACCGATTCTGTTCATAACTTTTATGGACAGAATTTCTCGGTGCAGCCAGCTGGCGGAGGGTTTCTGGTGTGGTGGCCTCAGGATTCCATCTCTGCTCTTTGCAGATGATGTAGTCCTGTTGGCATCATCGTGCCGTGATCTTCAGCTGTCACTGGAACGCTTCGCCGTCGAGTGTGAAGCAGCTGGGATGAGAATCAGCACCTCCAAATCTGAGGCCATGGTCCTCAACTGGAAAAGGGTGGATTGCTCTCTTCAGGTCGAGGGTGAGTTTCTGCCTCAATTGAAGGAGTTCAAGTATCTTGGGGTTTTGTTCATGAATGAGAGAAGAATGGAGTGTGAGACTGACAGACGGGTTGGTGTAGCATCTTCAGTATTGCAGATTCTTTACTGGTCCGTTGTGGTGAAGAGAGAGCTGAGCTGTAAGGCAAAGCTCTCTGTTTACCGGTCGGTCTATGTTTCTACCCTCACCTATGGTCATGAGTTCTGGGTATGACTGAAAGAATGAGATTGCGGATACAGGCAGTTGAAATTAGTTTTTTCTGCATTGTAGCTGGACTCTCCCTTAAAGATACGGTGAGAAGTTCAGTTATTCGGGAGAGACTCGGAGTAGAACCGCTTCTTCTCCACATCGAGAGGAGCCAGTTGAGGTGGTTCGGGCATCTGGTAAGGATGCCCCCTGGGCGCCTCCCTAGGGAGGAGACCCCGCGGAAGATGTTCACATCCTGGATAGAGAAGAACAATGGTTTGAGAGAGGAGTAAAGGAGGCCATCTTTGTGAAATAAAATCGTCCATCATTAAACAGGGGTGGAGGCCTCCGGGTTCAACTGTCCCCCTCTTACAATGCTGTTATTGCTAGTATCACTCAGCCTCCAGTGAATAGTAAACAGCCATCAGAGTGCTAATGATCCATCGTTAGGCTGATGGTCCTTTTTGATCATGTGAGCAGCTGGTTTTGGTTGTCAGCAGCAAACTGGTTGATCCACTCTGAGAAGGTGCTATTTAAGAGACTGAGCTGAATACAGCACCTCAGACTGAGGAAGTCTTTTGGATGAAAGACAAAACGTTTCTACATTTTTTGTTGTTGTTGTTTTTGCTTTGTTTTTTGAATGTCCAGAGAACAAGATTTAACTTTGTTAGATTCTATGGACAGATGACACAAAACTGGAACATTTTACAATTCATGTCACCTATGTGTTTACAGATGCAAAACTAATATGTTCAAAAAAGGGACAATATATTTAAAGTCGAACACAAAGGAGAAATTCATAGGAACACAGTTAAAGTTCTGGGACTGGTACAATGAAATCTCAAGACTATCAAGACATTCTGGAGCAGTGTCTGCTTCCCAGTATCACAAAGCTTGGTCTCACATGCAGGTCATTGGTCGTTCAAGAGATATTGACCAAAAACACAGCTAAAAACATCCAAGGATGTCTAAGAACAAAACTATGGATAATCCTAAAGTGGCCTACTGAGCCCTGATCCAAATATTTTGGAACATCTGTGAAAGAAGCTGAAAGAGGCAATCTAAAGAAGACACCCTTTAATCCAGAGACAGCTGGAGAGGTTTGCTCATGAGGAGCGGGCCAAAATACTTGTCAACAAGTGCAGAAGACTCATACATACATTACATACATTTCTTGATTACAGTGACTGAGATGTGCAACAAAATCTTGGGTTAAGAATACCTTCAAAGTTCATGCTCAATAATCCAGGTAAAAAAATCCGACAAAGTTAGATTCTCTGGACGGTTTCTTTGCGTTGAAACGTTTCTTCTTTCATCCAAAAGACTTCCATCAGTCCGAGGAGCCACAAAAAATTCTGTCTTATAAAGAACACCTTCTCAAAGTGTGTCAACCAGTTTGATGGTTTCTGGTTGTTGTGGCTCCTCAGACTGATGAAGTCTTTTGGATGAAAGATGAAAAGTTTAAACAAAAATAAACCATAAGGTGAGGGATGTCATCATGGAGACTGATGAAACAATGGTCTCTTTTGATGTCACATCACTCTTTACGTGCATTCCTGTTGATGATGCAGTAGAGGTGGTCAGTTTAAAATTAAAATCAGACACCACTCTGAGCAGCAGGACCATGCTTTCCACAGAACAACTGGGTCAACTCTTGAAACTGTGCCTGCATTCAACCTACTTCACATATGGGGAGCAATATTATAGGCAGAAACATGGGTGTGCTATGGGGTCTCCAGTTTCTCCTATTGTAACCAACCTGTACATGGAGGAGATAGAAAAGAGAGCCTTGACGTCCTTTTCAGGGACACCACCAAGTCATTGGTTCAGGTATGTTGACGACACCTGGGTTAAAATTAAATCTCAGGAAGTCCAACATTTTACTGACCACATCAACTCTGTGGATAAATACATCAAGTTCACACGAGAAGATGTAAAAAATGGCAAGTTGGCTTTCTTGGACTGTGAGGTCTCAGTCTCTGATAGAGGACATTTGCAAACTGATGTGTACCACAAACCCACCCACACAGACCAGTATTTGCAGTTTGACTCCCATCACCCTTTAGAGCACAAGTTAGGAGTCATCAGGACTCTGTATCACAGAGCAGACAGCATCCCCACTAGCTCAGGAGCCAGGCAGAAGGAGAAATCCTACACAAAACAGGCTCTAGAGCAATGTGGATATCCTAACTGGGCCTTCCTGAAAGCAGGGAAGAAACCCAAACAGGACTCCAGTCAGCCATCAGGTGAAAAGGAGGAACCCAGACCAGTGGTCATTCCATATGTTGAGGGAGTATCAGAGAAACTGAGACGTTTATTTTCTAAACATAACGTCCCAGTGGCTTTTAAACCCCAAAATACATTACGGCAAAGACTGGTTCATCCCAAAGATCCAGTCCCCCGGCACAAACAGAGTAACATTGTGTATGCTGTTCAGTGTCAGGAGGGCTGTGATCAGTCTTACATCGGGGAAACTGAACAGCCACTGGCCAAAAGGATGGCCCAGCACAGAAGATCAACATCATCAGGCCAGGACTCTGCAGTCTACACTCATCTCCAGGCCAGCGGTCACTCGTTCAAGGATGAAGATGTTCACATCCTGGACAGAGAGGAACGATGGTTTGAGAGAGGAGTAAAGGAGGCCATCTTTGTGAAAAGAAACCGTACATCATTAAACAGGGATGGAGCCTCCGGGTTCAACTGTTCCCCTCTTACAATGCTGTGATTGCTAGTATCACTCAGCCCTCTGTGAATAGTAAACAGCCATCAGGTGCTAATGACCCATTGTTAGGCTGATGGTCCTTCTTGAGCATGTGATCAGCTGGTTTTGGTTGTCAGCAGCAAAACTGGTTGATCCACTCTGAGAAGGTGCTATTTAAGAGACTGAGCTGAATACAGCACCTCAGACTGACGAAGTCTCTTGGATGAGAGACGAAACGTTTCTACATTTTTTTTGCTTTGTTTTGTTTTTTGTTTTTTTGAATGTCCAGAGGAGCAGATTGAACTTTTTTGGGCAATTTCTGAGAGTTTATGACACAAGATGTTATGATCCACAATGTCAAAAGCTTTAGACAGGTCTAAGAAAAGTGCAGCACGATTATCCTTAGCATCCAGTGCTTCAACAATGTCATTAATGTCATTTTTAACAATAATCAACAGTTAGTAGGTGTCAAAGTGTGTTTGCAGATGGTAACGTGTCTGTTTTGTGTCTCTGAAGGCTATGTGGAAGCCTGCATATGACTTCCTAGTCACGTGGGCTGCTCAGATCGGTGACAGCTACAGGGATGTGATCCAGGAGCTGCACATGGGGCTGGACAAGATGAAGAACCCCATCACCAAACGTTGGAAGCACCTGACAGGCACGCTGATCCTGGTTAACTGCCTGGATGTCCTGCGAAGCTCTGCTTTCAGCCCCGCTGCTCCAGATGATTACGCTATCTGAAGCAGTGTCTTTTCTACCCTGCCTCATTTTGCTCTGCTGTCTTATTTTTCCTATGAGGTTATTTGGGAGGCACTACAACACTACCCCCCCCACCACCACCACGTCTTCACTAAACATGGAGACTACCAATTGCACATATTTTTATATTTTTGTACCCAATTATGGCACAGCATTTATGTAAAGTGACAGAACTCTGTGGTTAGAAACTGTGGATTTAACTTTTGTTAAACAAAAAACCTTTTAAATATTGTAACTTTGTTTTCTTCACTTGTGTCAAACAGACTATTTAAAATCGCAGCCAAATCAAGTGATTTTTCATTTATTTGATTTGAGTTTTCCTTTCTGAGCGCCAAATACTGTCATTTAGTAAGATTTGAAATGTTAGTTGTTCAAGGTCATCATTATCAACGTTTATAATGATTATAATTTATTCAGTGATTAGGGACATTTTGAACTTTACAAGAGTGGTGTTACAACCCTTGGACTGAGTCTAGGAGGCACAGGGTGTAACACAAATTGTAAACTAAACGCAAAGCTAATAACTCAAAAAGAGCCCAGTTTGGCATTACAATGATTTATTCTTCTATTAGTTCAGGGCAGAAGGGAAGCCATGAACTTCAGGGTCTCCAAGGCCAAAACAAGAAACAAAAGAACACTCCTTCTGGCTAGAAAACAAAATCACCTCTTATCTACCAAAACAAAAACTACAATTCTTGAGCTCCCTGGCTGGCCACAAAACAGGAGTAAAGTTTGTTAAAAGAAACCCCACATTTCTAAACCTTATTTAATACAATGTAGGTGTTAAAACTTTTCACTTTTTTGTTGAGCTTAACTCAAAAAAGTTAAGTTTCAACCCAAGGTTCTGTTACTACCTGTTATAATCTGAAATATTTGTATTGTGGCCTAGTAAGCACAATCTTAATTGAATTCAACTAAATAAAATAAATTCTAACAAAAATGAGGAAAACAAATGTTGATTTATGAGCCTGTTTTTACTACGGGTTTTTGTGTGGAAGAAGCTTGAGAGTGAGGATGTTTGGTTTATTCAGTCTAGTTCATAGTGTGTGTGTGGTATGACTCATTAATTCTATTCAGTTTATTTCTATAGCGCCAAGTCACAACAGAAGTCGTCTCAGGGCACTGTACATTTGCATACATAAAACACCAATTAGTAAAAGCTCTCTATCTAAGGAAGCAGCAGATTGTGTTGGATCTTCACTTCAACACAGTCTCCAATCCTGAGCAAACACAAAGGAGACAGTGAAAAGGAAAAACTCCTTTTAAGAGGAAGAAACCTCCAGCAGAACCAGGCTCATGACAAGCGACCATCTGCTTAGACCGGCTGGGTTTGAGAGGACAGGAAGTTGAAACAGACAAACATAGAATGGCAGGTCCAGATGTACTTTCTATAGGAGGAAAAAAAGAAAACACATATTGGGATAAAAATAATTACAAATACAAACTGGTGGAGGTGAGCAATTAAAGACAGCAGCAGAGTGATGAAATGCGGTCAGTTTGTCTTCCAGCAGTCTAAGCCTATAGCAGCATAACTAAGGGACAGCTCAGGAAACCCATGCCAACCCTAACTATAGCATTTATCAAAAAGGAAAGTCTTAAGCCTAATCTTAAAACTAGATAATGTGTCAGCCTCATGGACAGAAACTGGAAGTTGGTTCCACAACAGAGGAGCCTGATAACTGAAAGATCTGCCTCCCATTCTGTCTTTGGAAACTCTAGGAACCACAAGTATACCTGCAATATGATAATGAAGTGCTGTGTTAGGAAAATATGGAACAATAAGATCTGTAATATAAGATGGAACTAGGTTGTTGAGAGCTTTGAATGTTAGAAGCAAGATTTTGAATTATATTATATTCTTAATTATTAATTATATTCTAATTAATATTCTATTGCTAGTATCACTCAGCCCTCTGTGAGTAGTAAACAGCCATCAGTGTGCTAATGATCCATTGTTAGGCTGATGGTCCTCCTTGAGCATGTGATCAGCTGGTTTTGGTTGTCAGCAGCAAACTGGTTGATCCACTCTGAGAAGGTGCTATTTATAAGACTGAGCTGAATACAGCACCTCAGACTGAGGAAGACTTTCGGATGAAAGACGAAACGTTTCTAAAATTATTTTGTTTTGGGGTTTTTTTTTATGTTCAGAGGACCAGATTTAACTTTTTTAGATTTTTCTACCAAGATTATTGAGCATGCATCAGGATACAGTCATCCTTCACAAAAATTAATAGTTGGACAGTATTGTTTTTTTGTTTTTTTCAGTTGTAGAACATTAAATTTTGTAGAGTCATCACTTCATTAGCGCTAATGTAAACTGGTTCTGTGAAAGCTTGTAAAGTTATAAAATAAAATGTTCAACACATTCTGACTTTGTCTTCTTATTGATGTATTTTCACTCAAAAAAATTATTTTTATTTAAAACAGGCTCAGAGTCCTGTTTTATTTGAACCATTTTAGTTAAAACAAATTTAATGACCACATTACTGTAGAAAACGTATAACACTCGAGCTAAATGAGGCACAAGATTTAAACACTGTGTTTATATTATTTGTTACATTATTTAACATTCTTCCTTCTGGCTTTAAGTCACAACTTCCTTGACTGCTCTTGGAGATATAAAAAAATGTAATAATCAGTCAGAGAAAGGTAACTATGTGGATGGTTGAACAGAAGAGCTGCTTCATCAGAGGTTTTCCACGTGGATCAGTTCCTGTCCTCCGTCCTCGGTGCCTCAGTGGAACAACTTGTTAGGCCTGAGCAGTGAAGCACTGCAAAGGCCTATTGTAATCGCTCTGTTCAGGCCCGAGCTGTAATTTTTTCTGCCAAATGAATTGGTGTTTTGAGGGCCTTAACATATCCCAAAAGTCACCAAATTTGGTGGACGCATCAGGACTGGTGAAAAATTTTGTATTTTAAGGGCGTGGCAAAAATAGCAAAAAAAACGGCTCAAGAGCACCACCTAGAAATTTTCAAAATACCCTCCGCATTAACCTTAGTTTGTTGTAGAAACATGAATTTTGGTACGCTTGTCCAATTCCCCAAGATGCACAGAAACCCTCTGGCACCAATGTTGTACGATAAACAGGAAGTCGGACATTTTGGAATGCCGGCCCAATTTTCACATCTTTTTGGCGGTTTACAGCCTCCGCATTTGAACAAACTCCTCCTAGGGATTTCGCTCAATCGGTTTCAAACTTGGCCATTTTGGTCAAAAGGCATGGGGCACACAAGGTTTTATCTAAACGGTTCATTTTGGAGCATGCTGAAGGGGCGGGGCCAGACCTTAAAGTTTGACATATCGCGTTGAAAAACGAAACGCTAATAGCTCCTTCACGAAAACTGTCTGAAACATCAAACCTTCAGTGATTGATCCACATCCGGTCCCCTGCAAGACTGAATGGTCAAATCAAGACATCATTTAAGCCACGCCCCCTGACAACAGGAAGAATAAAGTTTTACGTTGAATGATCCCTATCTATTCAATTCAATTCAGTTTATTTATACAGCGCCAAATCACAACAAAGTTGTCTCAGGGCACTTTACAGAAACATTCACATACATAAAAGCTAATTAGTAAAGTTCTCTATCTAAGGAATCCAGCAGACAAGTTGAATCTTGGCTTCGTTGCAGTCTCCCATCCTGAGCAAGTACAGTGGCAACAGTGGAAAGAAAAACTCTCTTTTAAAAGGACGAAACCGCCAGCAAAACCAGGCTCAGGACAAGCAGCCATCTGCTTTGACCGGCTGGTTTGAGAGGACAGGAAGGAGAGACAGACGAACACAGAATGGTAGGTCCAGGTATAGGTCCAGGTATACCTGAAAGACAAAAAAAAAAACACATGTTAAGGATAGAAAAATTATTACAAATACAAAACAGGTTGAGCAGAGTAAGTAAAGACAGTAGCAGAGTTAAAAGTGTGGTCAGTTTGTCCTCCAGCAGTCTAAGCCTATAGCAGCATAACTAAGGGACAGCTCAGGAAACCCAAGCTGACCCTAGCTCCAGTTAAGACTCTGGCAACAGCATTTTGGATCAACTGAAGACATTTTAAAGAAGTATTTGGACACCCAGATAATAAACCATTGCAATAGTCCAGTCTAGACGTGACAAATGCATGGACCAGATTTTCTGCATCATTTTTAGATCAGATGTTTCTAATGTTAGTGATATTACGCAGGTGGAAGAAGGTAGTTCTAGTAACGTTTTTAATGTGGGGGATAAAAGACATGTCCTGATAAAAATAACACCAAGATTTTAACAATAGAGCTGGAGGACAGATTGTCATCTAAGGAGGGAGAAATAATTAAAAATTCATTCCTAAGGTGCTCAGGTCCAAAAACCAAAACCTCAGTTTTATCTGTGTTCAACAGGAGAAAATTAAGGGTCATCCAGGTTTTTATGTCTTTAAGACATGCTTATAGTCTAAGTAGCTGATTGGATTCATTGGGTTTAATGGACAAATGTAATTGTGTGTCATCAGCATAACAATGAAAATTTATCCCATGCTGTTTAATAACTTTACCTAATGGAAGCATATATAAAGTAAAGAGTATTGGCCCAGGCACTGAGCCCTGAGGAACTCCATGGCTAACTTTGGTGTATGAAGAAGATTTATTATTTACATTTACAAACTAGAATCTGTAAGGATGTTACTATTTGCTGTTTCTGTTTGTCTGTTTCCCTAGTGTTTCCTCATCAGTTTAATTGGTGCCACCTTTGTCTCGTCACAGCTGTTGTAATCACGTCTTGTCTTGTCCTTGTATAAAAGCAGTCTGTTCTGTGTTGTTCCTCGTCGGGTCGTATTCGTTGGGTCTCTGCGTTCTCCTGTGTTCTCCTGCGTTCTCCTGCGTCTCCCCTGAGCTCCCTGAGTTTCCCTCTGAGCCTTCCGTCTATTTGTAAGTTTTGCTGCCACGTCAGCTATTATTTTGTTCTTTATTTACTATTAAAAAATACTTATTTTTGTAATCTGCCGAGTTGAGTCC